CTTTAACATTTCTTAACCCCGAAAAGCCTGAAAATTCTTATGAGACAGAAGTGTTAAAACGTAACTACAAAGGTTCAACAACATAGGAAACATTTCCCCATAAGGAGAGATGCACAACCTTCCCTAGGTCACACACATACAGGCAAAATGTTCATAGTAAATATGCTTCCAGAATTATATTAAATTTCTTAAAGTTTGCCAAAGACTTTAAAAGTGAGAACTGGGAACACTAACCAAACTGTCCCTTCTATTTGGGGACATTGCTTCATTCTTTAGAAACGTGGTCTGTCCAGTTAGACTTCTCAACGGGCCATCCGTGGGACTGAGAGACCACCTTCGACTCTAGTCCTCCATCTTTGATTTCTTAACAGCTCTAACCCATGCTCATCTTTTCCTGTACAGATCTCTCACCCCTCAAGCTCTAATCTGTACCTTCTGTCTCCAGCACTCAGCCCAGATTTTTGTCTGAAATTTCTTGAAAAGCTTGAAATGTAGCAAAAGTAGAGATGTTCCAAAAGGACCCAAAACAAAAACAAAAACACAAACAAACAAGAAGCCAATGGTGGGTGTTAACAATGATAACAAATATTCTCATCCAAAAGGATCTGTCTAAAGGGGAGTCAGGTGCATCAACCTTCCTCCCACACAATCTGAGGATTCTCTATGCAGGGAGGAAACTGATCTCTGGCTTGGGGACACTGGGGAAAACAATGATGCTAACAAACATCATTCAGTTCCCATCCACCAAATTTTTGTCTTTAGCCCTTTGGTTAACATGTTAACCTTTACTTCTGGTTAATCGAGGAGTCACTCATTCTTGAGGGCTCCTATGCATGTGTGAACAAGCTGTCTTTCCTTCTGAGACTCTGGTCATTGTTAACCTGTGGCTTCCAAATTCTCAAACAAAAAAGAGAAGCTGAAAACTTTTGTCCCCCTCCATGGTTTCCATATCTGTAAAATCCTAACAACCTTCACACAGAGCATGTGATACAGAAGTGGACAAAAGCTGCGAAGTGTACGATGGCTATTTCTGAAGTCGGTGGTGTTGAAAAATGTGCAGTGATGCTGAAGGAGATGCAATGAAGGTGGAGTCAAAAGAGCACAGCCTTCAGAAAGAACTGAGTCCAGGTCAAACTCCGTAGGTGGCTACAGTTCAGTTCCTGGGCTCCGCAGGAGACAGACAGGGATGTGTTCAGATGATAAATGAACTCTCACTGTCGGCTTGTTGTGAGGACAAGATGAATGATCCATGCAGCGCATAAGTCTTAGATCCCACAGCATGCAAGCACTTGGCTGTTAACGACTGTTATTGTGAACTTGCTCTGTAACCCTGAGCAAGCTAACTGATCTTTCTGAGCCAATTTGCTATAGCAGGGCACTTACGGATATTTGAAAATTTAGTGGCAAAATCTAAAGAAGGTACTGTGTGTTTGTTAACAGCTTCTTCCAAATAACAGATTCTTTCTGATTGGCCCTTTAAGCTCCTCTGTAGATCCTAAGGGCTAATGAGATGAGTTGTGTGTAGGATGTAATATTCTCCCAGAAACATGGCACATGGCTCCTTTAGGATGGAGACATTTGAAAGAGCCTAAAAACCTCAATTAAAACTTTATTTTGATCTGTTAATGGTTTTCTAGACATGCTTTCCTATCAAGACCTGGTCTAAACTCCATCTCTGAACCCTCACCTCACTGCCCATTTCAGACAGCTTTGTCCAGGTTGGTGAAATGGTGGTCCCCAGTATTTAAGTTCTCCATCAGAATTACCTGAAGAAGCAGGTTCTTTCTCAGCCCTACTTCCACCATTGCTGGGGGAAGGTCTTGGCTAGGTGGAGATATTATCAGCATCTAAGTTCAGGGTGTGGGACTTAATTGTGCAAATGAGGCTTTGGCAGAGCCAGCCCAAGCATGGCCTGAGGGGAGAGATATTGCCACTAGCATACATACTGAAACCAACCACATGGGCAAATGGAAAGGGACTAGGTCTCTCATTCTCCAAAACTAGAGGAAGCTGCTTGGATCCCAGCTTCTTCCATCTGGACTCAAGGGAGCAGGAATGCCAGGGCCAGGGCCAGGGCTATGGAAATTGCCTCTATTGGGGTATTGTCAAAGAAGGCGTCTCCTTCAGTTCCCTGTGTATTTAATGTCCTTAGCCACGAGGTTTTGAATTGTACTGTTTATTTAGTAACCTCACATTGGAGTTTGGCTGCATCTATTTCTGTTTACAGAATGAGTAATTGTTAATTCCTGGTAACAGGCAATGCAGGGGAAATGGTAATAGACACCAGCCCCTTCATGAGCTCCACTACAAATGGGACACATTATATATTTTGAATCTACTCTTTAATTTCACAAGTCATATTTTATTTATTTATTTATTTATTTATTTATTTATTTATTTGTTTGTTTGTTTGTTTTTCAAGATAGGGTTTCTCTGTGTCGCTTTGGAGCCTATCCTGGCACCCAGCTCTGGAGACCAGGCTGGCCTCGAACTCACAGAGATCCTTCTGCCTCTGCCTCCCAAGTGCTGGGATTAAAGGCGTGTGCCACCAACGCCCAGCAACAAGTCATATTTTATTAACAGCATTAAAAAAAAATGAAGGAAGCTATAGAGATGACTCAGCAGTTAAGAGCACTTGTTCTTCCACAGGACCTAAGTTTGATTCCCAGAAGCTATTATATTGGGCAGTCCACAGCCAACTGTAACTCCAGCTCCAGGGGATGCCATGCCCTTTCCTGGCCTTCAAGGACAAGCAGACATGTGGTGTGAGTGTTCACGTGCACTCGAACACACACACACTCACACACACACACCACACACACACACACACACACACTCTCTCTCTCACACACACACACTCACACTCTCACACTGTCTCTCACAACACACTCTTTCACACATACTCTCACACATACACACTCACACATACACTCTGTCACACACTCTCACACACACACTCACACATTCACACTCACACAACTCACTCACACACACTCTCTCACACACTCACACTCACACACTCATAACACTTTCTCTCACACACTTATTCACACATACTTACACACTCACACACGCTTACCCACACACTCTCACACTCACACACTCACACTCATACACACTCACACACACTCACACACACACACTCTCACACATACACTCACTCACGCACACTCACTCGCACTCTCTCTCTCTCTCTCTCTCTCTCTCTCTCTCTCACACACACACACACACACACACACACACACACACACACACACACGCTAATCTTGAAAGTTAGTGAGAGAAGAAGAGACAGAGAGATGACACAAGTTGTGTGTTGAGGCTATAGAGTAATTGTCCAGAATTGCTCAGCCGCTCAGCATATGCCAAGACAGGGATTCACCCTGTTTAGGAAATGAAGTCCTGTCCACAACTGATCACAGAGGAACATGATGACAAAGCCACCCTCCTCTGAGGGCAAAGGCAAGGGTGTTAGTTCCTGGGAGGTCCTGACCACTCACGTCTGACTTCAGCTGTCCCAGTGTTCCCATCTACCAAACAAGATGTCCAAGACAGAATGAAATATGTAGGATGCCAGTGGGCATCAGGACGAGTTGTGATTCCGATTCCAAACACAGGGAGAGTTCAACTAATTAAAAACTGGCACTGGACAGAAGATAAAATGGAGAAGATGTCAAAGGGAATCAGCTGACTAGAAAATGCACCCTGTAGGTGAGGGTCGGAAAGAGCTGTGCTTTGCTGGAGTAGGGGCTGTGCTGATACATGGGCTTGTGACGACTACAGCTAGGACACACAGCCCACCACCCACAAAGGAATCTGGGATTGGGGGCCCAGAACTGGACTTTGGAGAGCAGTTAACTGGGACGCGTGCTTTGGAGAACATGGGAGAAAGTGGATAGGGGGTTATGAAGCCTAGTTCAGACTGTAGCTTCCGTGGTGACTAAGCCTCATATGCAATGGTATCAGAGCTTTTGAATCCAAAGACAGCGTCTGTAGCAGGAGAATCCTTCCGGCCCTAGTGTTGGCCTGAGAAAGAAAAATAAAACATCTCCAGAACATGCTACCATCACTCTCAATTCTTCTGGAACCCCGCTACCCTTGGTCTTCCAAGCGACCCTTTGCATACCAGGGAAGCCCTGCTTCGCCGTGCTGCTTCCGCCACCTCGCGGCGACACGCGGAACCGCTGGCCACAGGTCCGGGCTTTACCTTGGCTCGGATCCCACTGGGCGGCTGGTCCCTGTGGGGTGTTAGCAAGGACCTACAGGAGCGGAGGAGCATCTTGGTTCAACCATCCCAGGCACGCCGCATTTAGGAAGTATGAAGCTGCTTTCAAGGGGCGCCGCTCCGCTGAGTGGCTTTCCTGGATCTGAGCCAGTCTCTTCTTCGCACGAAATACAAATAAACAAGGATTCCCAGGAGGCACAGACTGGATTGGCGGATCTGTGGTGACAGCAGCGCTGCCGCTGACAGGGTGGGTCAAGTCCCAGTTTGGCATCTCTACTGCGCAGCAGCAGCAGCCTGCAGCGTCCCCGCAGACAGCCAATTCAGCATTCCTAGTGTCTGTCATTTTTCTCTTCTACAAAGTTCCTTCTCTCCCTCTTTCTTTTTTCTTTCTTTTTTTTTTTTTTTTTTTTTTTTTTTTTTTTTTTTTTTCTGCACAAGCACAACTTCCCTCGGGTCCTTTTGGGAGACAGGGCATGGGCCCTGCCCAGGGAACCTTGGGTTCAATGGGAAAGTGGTTATGCCTTTTGCCAACCTGTTTCCTCAGCGTCACAGTGGGCAGTGTCCATGTAGATGGAACGAAGCTTCTTTGCCCAGTATTCACTTCTACTCCACACAGCCTAGTAAGGTCTTTCCACATTTTCCCAAACGGCCTTATCTGTATCCAGGGAACATCTAAAACATGAATATAAGGGAAATCATGATGGCCAGAGCATGTTATTTTGTCATCCACAAAGCTAGGACAGGGACTGTAGTGACCACAATTCCTGGGGGATGTCCAAGAAGGAGGAAGCTGGAATCTGAAAAGCAGAGGGGAAGAGAGCTGGAGTCAGCTGGTCAGTGCCACATGATTGGCCAGCAGCAAAGAGAGGTGAAGTCAGATGGCCAGTGCCACATGATTGGCCAGCAGCAAAGCTAGGCCGTGTGAAAGAACAGCCTGAGCCCTGTCTGGAGGGAAACAAGCCAGCAAGAAAGAGGTTCTCCTCAGGGGTCCTAGATCCAGATTCCTTGGTGAGAGGGAACACCAAGAAGATGGGAAAGGTCAAGGCAAAGTCTGGGTGAGGGAGAAGCTTCCAGACAGAATGACAGGAGCAGAGCCTGCTAGGGGAGGGAAGGAGATGGGCACGCTGCAAGAGCGACGGGAGAAAATCGACTTCCTCTAAAATCACGTGCTCAGCGAATCAAGTTCATGTGAGTGGGAATCTCGGAGTCAGAATTAGTCTCCTGGGACCTTGATTCAATTACAAAAATTATTTGAGAATTTCATGCAGGAGTACAATGTACTTGTATCATTTGTTCTCCTTCCTCTGCATATTCCAGCACATTCTCTGTGTTCCAACCACTCTTGAATTCCTATCTCTTCTTTTGTAATTACACGCACATAACTTACTGTGTCCAGTTAGCACTGACCTTTTGTTCATGTGTTTACATCTAATCACTTAGGATTGGAGCCTCCTTCCTAAAACAAACAAACAAACAAACAAACAAACAAACTGGTTCTTCATTCCTCAACAGTCACAGACTGCCTATGACTCTTCATCTAGGTTTGGGGCCTTGTGAGATTTTCCTCCATTCATATTGACCTGTTAACTGGTGTGCTCTTTGCATGCTGCTTTGGGAGCTCATGGATGCAGCATCACTGTCCTGTCCAGAAGACACTATCTTGCTCCAGTTGTCCTGATCCCCAGGGTCTTATATTTTTTCCAATCTGTCTTAAGAGATGTTCCCCAAGCCTTAGGTATAGGGTTATAGATGTCCTGGTTGGTACTAGGAACCCTAAGGACACTTGTAACCTGCACTTTGATCATTTGGATCAGCTGTGGATCGCTCTAACAGTCTCCATCTGCTACAAAAAGAAGTGACTTTGGGGTGAGAGCTAAATTTATCTATGGTATAATGATAACTATTTAGAGAGCAGTTGGAAACTACATTAATTTAGTAACATGGTAGTATCCTCTGAATTCTATGCTTTTTTCATCCATGGGTACTTGGCTAGGTTTATAATATCAGGCATGAGTTCACTCCAGTTGAGCAGGCTTTAGGTTCCATTACATAGTTGTTCGTTACCCCCAAGATACAAGTGTCACTATTACACTACCGGGAATGCCTTACTGGCCTGGTCATTGTGGTGGTTAATAGGATTTAGAGTTGGGTAGGACTGTGGATAACTTTCTTAGCATTTTCTGATACTAAGGAAGAGCTTTTCAGGTTAGTACCAACTTCATTTCTGCAATTCCTGTGACCATAGTATATTATGTCTTCAGCAGAAAGGTCTAACCCTCATTTATGACAGGCCAGCAGAAGCAATTGCAAAAACAATATGTTGTTTGGGGATCACTTACCATCCCCCACCAGACAAAAAACTCGAAGAAAGATATCACTTGCATGGCATGGTATTTGGTTTTTTGTGTTGTTATTGTTGCTGTTTGTTCTTTTTCCTTCCTTCCTTTCTTTCTTCCCCTTCCTTCCTTCCTTCCTTCCTTCCTTCCTTCCTTCCTCTCTTGTTTAGTCTTTGGCTTCTGGGGAGAATATTAACCTACTATCAAAACTACATTTATTTCTGTCTGTCTGTCTTTTGTATATCATGGCTTGGATTAAAAAAAAAAAAAAAGCCCCCACAGTCATGGGTGTTTAAAATGTGGTCTCCAGAGGGTGGCACTGTTTGGGGAGGGTTAGGTGATGCAGCCTTGCTGGAAGAATTATGTCCCAGAGGCAGGTTTTGAGAAGAGAACCCCTTGCCTACTTCCTGTTTATTCTTTCTGCTTGTGGTTCAAGATGTGGCACTAAGTTTTCTGTTCCTGCCACCATGCCTGCCGTTTGCTGTCATGCTGTCCTCCCAGTTATGGCCTTTCACCCTCTGGAACTGGGGCTCCAAACAAGCTCCCCCTTGGGTAAGTAGACTCAATTGTGGTGTTTTGTCAGAGTAGCAACAGAGGAATGTGCAAACCACCTGATGGTGTTTTCTTGGATTTCAGTCAGTTCCTTTCATTATGTGTAAGTTCATTCAGGTGTTTGTTCATGTCCTGCTTAAACTTAATTCTTTGATCGTGTTTACAACTGCCTTTTGGATTTCATGTCCTGAAGTGAACATTTCCATAAGATTGGCAGTCTTGGGGAGGGTAGCATGCTGTCTTGGTTTTTCATAATATTTGTTTTTTTTGTGGTGGGACCTGGGCATGCAGATTTATTTCACTGGTTGTATGTCTGACATGGGAGTCCCTCCTGCCAACGTTGAGCAGAATTTTTGTTCTGGTTTTGCTCTTGCCAAAACTTGGTTGATTTCCAGTTAATAAGAGGAGTGATTAGGTCACTTCTTCCAATACTCACTCAGTATTGAGTTTTTGTTGAAGAGACTGGGTCATTCTAGTTCAGTGGTAGCTGGTGTGCCAGGGCACCTTAGGGGTGGTGCCAGATAGATAGGGTGAAGTCCAGGAAATCCCTCAGTGTGGATTTCCAGGTAGCAAAAGAGGAGGGACCAGACTGACTCATGGAGTAAGCATGTGCATGTGGTTTATAGTGTGATTTGGGCCTGGAGAGACTGCAAGGAGGGAGACCTGGGTCAAAGCCACCCAGAATGTGGGATGTGATTCCAGTGGGCCTGAGCCTGTAGCAGTAGTGTGGCGGAGAGTCCTGGATCAGTGTCTCCAGGAGAGGTGAAGGTATGAGGCTCCTGGCTGGGTCTGGGCTAGGAGAGCAGGCATCTGGTGAGGATCAGGTGAGGCTCAGCAAAGGAGCATATGGATGAGGCTCCTGACTGGGCCTGGGCCATTTCATTCAGTTCTTACAACTGAAATTAGCCTTAGATGGAAGAGAAAGACAGAATGGGAAAGAATAGACTCTAGTGGAGCATTCCTGACAGGACTCGGTGCTGGTGGGTGCTCCTTACTCAGAGATGGTTAGAGGTCTGCTCTTTGATTCCTTGCTTTCATCCATGCAGCAAATAAAATATTCTCTTGTCATTAAGAATTGCTCAGACTGATACGGATGCTTACATCATTGATTTCAGCTCCATCTCTGGAATGAAGTCTTGTGGCAGAGAGTCCAAAGACCAATCATAGAAACAACGAAGAGGTTTGTTTTATTGGTGGGTGGAGGGTAGGTAAATTTCACTACCAAACTGTTAAGGGAGGAGAATGGAATGATGGTTACACATTGCCCCCTGGTGTTCATAAGTGCTTATTACACCCAAGCCTCTTCCACAGTGTAAGCAGTTTTTGAAAATGCATTACTTCCTTCCCAGGTGTTAGAGCTTACAAGTATTCTTAATAGTGACTAGGACCATAATCCTTGTTTACCAGTGTTCTTTCACAATTGCTGGTCACACAGACCCACAGAGGAAAAAAATAACAGGAGAAGGGAAATAAGTTCTGCCTTTTTCATTGTGTTCTGAACTCCCTGGCTTCTACTGCAATAAATTGGCTTGAATTGTGATGAAAACTATATGTCAGATTAATATATAATCAATTATCAATTGATTACTTAACTTTTAGGGGCTTTGCAGACATTGCTGTCTGTCAATGTGGCCAGGAGGTGTTCAAGTCACTTAGCCTGGATGTGCTCCCAGTGCTTGGAGGACTACCTAGAGACCATAGATGTGATCCCAAGTTCTGGGAGTGGGGTTGAGGACTCATGCTTCGGGAATGCATTGGAAGTCCACCAAAGCATTGGGGAAGTCAGCACTGGGGATGCTTTATGAGAGTAGTGAGGCTCTGAACCATGTTCCATGGGGTTTTTCTGAGGATTCATGTGATGCCATAGGCAAAGTGTTCAGAGCAGTATTTGCACAAAAGCAACAGCCAATGATGAGCAATGAGACCCCAAGGAGCTTTGCTTTGATCAAGGGACAGGATGGAGAAGTGAGTGATATCAGGTGAAGGACTGACCACTGGAAATTTAGTGTAACTACAAATTTATACCACAGATAGATTTTAAAATTTTCTTACAGTCCCATTAAAGATGTTTTATAGAAGAGAATTAATTCCCTGTATCCAATGTATTCTCAACCATGATCAATGGGAAAGATTGTTAATGAACACTTTGGCGTTTGTCATTCACACCAAGTCTCAACTTACTTCAGTGTTTTCATGGGTGGGTACAGCATTCCCAGGCTGGTGCAACCATATTAATGGCCCAGTTAGGGATATGCCTGAAGCCTGTGCTTAACTGGACATGCAGCATACTGGCACTTCTAGACCAGTCTTTGCATATTAAAGGAACTTCTGAGACCATGGTTTCAAAATCACCTGACTGCTCTTTACACAAAACCTTGTGTTTCTTGACCCTATCCTGTCCCAATCTTAGAAGACCAGGTCTCTACATTTTGAATAAGCCCAATCAAGTTTGTCATCTATGCTGGCTAGTTTATGTCAACTTGACACAAGTCAGAGTCATCAAAGATCAGGGAGCTTCAATTGAGAAGATGCCTCCATAAGATCTGGCTGTGGGGCATTTTCTTAATTAGTGATCAATGGGGAGGGCCCAGCCCATTGTGGCTGGTGACATTCTTAGGCAGTTGATCCTGGGTTTATAAGAAAGCAGGTTGATCAAGTCATGAGGAGCAAGCCAGTAAGTCTCACCTCTCCATGGCTTCTGCATCAGCTCCTGTCTCTAGGCCCCCACTCTGCTTGAGTTCCTGTCCTGACTTCCTTTGGTGATGAACGGAGTGTGGGAAGTGTAAGCCAAATAAACCCTTTCCTCCTTGAGTTTTTTGGTCATGGTGTTTCGTCATAGCACTAGTAACCTGAACTAAGATATGATCTATGATGGGTAGGTCTAACTGTCAACTTAATGCAATCCAAAGTCACCTAGCAAGAGAGTCTTGAAGAGGAACCAGCTTGATCAGGTTGGTCTATAGGCATGTCTGCGAAGACTGTTTTCTTAAGTTGGAGTAATAGATGTGGAAGGACCCAACCTGAATGTGGGCAGCCAAGCTTTCCTGTTTCTACTCAGAACCCCCTCAGCCAGAGAATAGACTTGGCAATACCCCATTACTTGTGATCTCCACCATTCCCTGTTTGCCTGTGGCATCTGGTCACTAAGCCAATGTTCCACCAGATCTGAGAAGGAAATTCTTCCTCTATTGGAAAAGTTGTCTTCCAGTCCCCCACCCTCTACCCTCCATCCTGCATATGTGGGATTTTTCCTCAGCCTGTCCCTGACTCCTTCACTCCGAGTGAGAGGGAGGAATTCCTAGCTTCGTCAATAGCCATGGTTTGAATGGGTCCCCAGATCCATGCACTGGAAACTTCACCCCAGTGCAGATGTGTTGGGGATGGGGTCTAATGGGAGGAAATGGGCCAAAAGGCTCTTCCCTCATGACTGGATTGATACTGTTGTAGAAGAGCTCAGCTGGAACTGAAGTCTATGTTTTCTCTGTGAGGACATCAAGAGACAACACAAGGCACAGCAAAAAGGATCTCATGATCTTAGGTGCAAGTATCTTGTACTTCCTAGAATCCACAACCCCAAGAGATACATTTGTGATGTTTATAAATTAGCAGGTGTCCAGAATTAAGTTATAGCAATATGAAAAATGCCAAGATACAAGTCTGCTCTCATAGTTTGCACTCACTCTACGCAACTTTTTTGGCATAAAAGCCATGGTGCAAAGTAAAGAGAAAGACTGTCACATATAAAACAAAGCCACTCCAAATCAAGTGTTTATAATCTAAACTCATCATTGGGTTATTGTGTTTTTGATGCTGTCCTAGTTTGGTTTCTGTCACTGTGATAAATTCCATGACCACAAGATATTTGCAGGGAGGAAAAGGTTTATTTGGCTTATAGGATACAGCTCATCACTGAAGGAATCCAAGGCAGGAAACTGGAGGCAGTAACTAAAGAAGAAACCGTAGCTGAAGGTTGCTTACTGGCTTGCTCAGCTACCTCTCTTATAGGTTCACCTGTCCAGAGATGGTACCATTCACAGTTGGCTGGGTTTTCTCCAATAAGTTAGTAATTAAGAAAATTCCATACAGATGTGCCTAGAGGCTGGCCTGTTGAAGAGGCAGTTCTTCAGTTGTGGTACCCTTTTCCTAGGTATATGAAGTTGCCAACTAAAGCTAACCAGGAGACAGATGCTGAATGTCTAGCTATTTACTTTACAAAGAGCTGTAATTACACTAACTTCATCTATTCCACCCAGCACCCTAAGATGTAGCTACTTTATCCTATTTTACAGTCAAGGGAAGGAAAGCTAAGAGAGTTTTAGTAACCTTTTCAAGATGACACAGTGGATAAATAGTGAGTTACTAAATCCAGCAAAGAAGGTAGAGAAGGGAGCATTGAACAGGGGGATGGTTCTGCCCTTTTGTGAAACTACATATCTTGGTGACTTATACATCTTTTCACTTCTTGAAAACCATGTTTCCTCTCATGAAAATGTAAGAGTTGAAGTGGGTGAAACTGATAATTGATTTTTGCATATTCATTTGCCCATTTGTTTTATTTCAAGTCTTCTAGAAAACAGACCCCAGGGCCTGGAGCTCTTCATTGATGATACTTATGGAGAGATTGCTGAGATGCTGAGGGAAGCAGCCTGGGCAGAAAGAGAAGCCAAACTACTTCAGTTTCAGTGAAGGTCTGAGAGCACTGGACCCATGATGGGACTGAGAACCATTCCAACAGAGGCCAGGGAGCTAGTCTTTGTGTTCCCAGAATGACCGCTCATGGGTAGAAAGTGTTCCTGGGGAAGGGGCACAAGCTTATTTTCTTTTGGCTGAAAATAATTGAGGAAAGACTCACTCTGTGAGTCTTAACTCGGCTATGTTCCCACTACCTGCTGGGGTGCATATTCCCAAATGGAAAAGAGATTTGGCTGCACAGTACAGCATCTACTATTGCTCTTACCTTGCACTATTCAGACTTATACACTCCATCTAGTGGGTTTACCACCACCTAGCAACAGCTGTTCCAGAATTCTCGTTGGTTTGATTTGTTGTAGAAACTTTCAAGAAGACAAAAGCTAGTAGGAGGAAGCCACAGCAGGATTGGAGATGCAATATGTTCCCCCTGAACTCTTCCCTTAATACCTATTCTAGATGACCCGCCTCATCAGCTAGCATCTCCGCTTGTGTTCTGTTGGGTGATAAAGGCCTCTACTCCTGACAGTCAGAGCCCCTTATGCCATGACATTCTCAAGTCATGGGTACAGCATGTCTTATCTAATTGAATTGCAGAGTATGAAAACTATGTTAACAGATCACTAGAAAGCCACATTTATATTTTGAGTTTATTGGACAGCAGTAGCCTGAGCTCCTCTTGAAAGAACAGTTGGTGACTTTTGCAAGTGAAGTTACATCTTGACTCCTGGATTCTGGACACAATGAGCTTGAACTTATGAGGTTTCTGTAGCTACAAAGTCTAGTGGAAACATTATAATGTTGATTCCTTTATTGGAATTAGGAGCCTGGGTTAGGTAGAGTCCAGGATGGGAAACACTAATTCCCCAAGTGGACCTCTGAGAAGAAAGGTAAACAAGATTATTGTGTTCAGTTTCTTAATTCAAAAAGAAAGTCACACCTTTTTTTTTGTCTGATGCAGTGACAAGAGGAATCTTGTGTCAACAGAACAAAGCCATTGGTAACAGTACTAAGACTCCCTCACTCAAGATAGGCATACCTGGAGTTAGAATAATTTTGCTTCAAGTTCAGATGAGTTTCTAACAACTCAAGTGGTCTAGTGTAATCAATATACCACCAAATAGTTCACCATTGGTATCTATTGCCTTCATAATAGACACAGGCAGCAGCAGTAAGTAATCCCCAAACTCTGTGCTCAGGAAGCCAGCTGTGGCAGCCATCTGTAGCTTTCTTCTCTGTGGCTCTGAAAACATTGTCCATGAACCCATTGAAGTAGATGTGAGGGGACAATGACAGGAAGCTGATGGTACTTCTTAAGATCATTCTAGTTACTTGGCTGTTCACTGGCTGTCCAGGGGTGGCTGCTTTCTTGGGTATGAAATATGACATAAAAATCTCCATACTTTGTGCCTACTATAGGCTCACCCATATTCCTTTTCTATAAACTTACTTCTTGCCAATATTCCAAACTTTCTCTTTTCAGGCTTGTGGTAGTTATTCTTGGTTGTCACCTTGACTACATCTGAAATGAACTATAATCCAGGAATGGAAGGCACACTTGTGATCTGGATCTTGAGGCAGGAAGCCAACATGCCTTTGATCTGGATATTGAGGCTGGAAGACACAGACTTTTACAAGGGATGACACACCTTTACTGGAAACCTATATAAACATAATAGAATAAGGGAGGTTTCCTTCTTTGTCTGCTTGCCTTTGCCTTGCTAGCAATCCATTCCTTCACTTGTGTTGCAGCCTACTTCTTCAGGATTTTAGCATATGCAGAAGACCAGCTGAGACAGCCAGCTTCATGAGACTGAGCAACTACTGGATTCTTGGACTTTGTATTTACAGCTAGCCATTGATGTATTAGTTGAACTGCAGCCTTTAAGACATTCCAATAAATCCATATTTTCATTCCATAAGTTCTATGCCTCTAGAGAACTCTAATACAAGGGCATAATCAACAACAAAGCCATTCACTAGAACGTAAGTCACTAAATATGACCTCAGGTTACTAATAGGAATGATAAGGTTACTACCCATAGTCTGTCCATTGGGGTATTTAGGTCCACCATTAACTCTCAGGGACCATTCCTGGTGTCAGGCTATATTTCAGGATAGTCTATTTCCAACTTGTACCTGCATGCTTACTAATCCATTTGTGAGGCAAACCTGTTTCTTTTTCTGTTTATTAGTGATAGGAACTTAGTAACAGATTCTAGCACAATAGATGTGCATGACATAATGGTATGACCAACATAACCACGTATTCTACTTATTCCCTCCTGACTTTATGGCCAAAGGGTTCAACAACCTGGGTTCTTGTTGAGTAATTATGATTGCGTGATTCCTCCACGTCCCTGTCCAGAAAGAAGTCCCATCAGCAGCAGCTATTTTTCAATGAGTGCCTACTCTCTACTGGGGACAGTGTGGGCTTAATCCATGAAGTTAGGGATATAGGTTTTGAATGTTCTATAAGAACTTGTCTAAAACATGGCAATATGGTATTTTTCCCACCACAGCAACCTCTAAAACAACTGATCCTTGATGTCCTAGAATTCACATATGAGAACCATTTGCATCATTTAAGTATATATTAAAGTCCCTGGTCTTCTCCTACTTAAGAAACAATGTGATATGATTGGTTCAAAAGTGCTGTATAAATTAGCCTCAAACAACCACTGTATGTAGGATTGCTTACTAAAGACTTGGTTCATCATTTTTTTTTCTTTTTTAAAATTTAAATTAGAAACAAGCTTGTTTTACATGTCAATCCCAGTTCCCTCTCCTTCTCCTCCCCTTCCCTCCTCCCCTGCCCCCCATCAACCCCCTGTCCCATCCCCTTTCTGCTCCTCAGGGAGAGTGAGGCCTTCCACGGGGATCTTCAAAGTCTGTCATATCCTTTAGAGCAGGGCCTAGGCCCTCCCCTGTGTATCTAGGCTAAGAGAGTATCCCTCTATGTGGAATGGCTCCTGAAGCCCATTCATATACTAGGGATAAATACTGATCTACTGCCAGAGGCCCCATAGATTTCCAAGGTCTCCTAACTGACACCCAAGTTCAAGGGGTCTGGGTCTGTCCTATGCTGGTTTCCCAGCTACTAGTTTAGGGTCCACCTTGTTCAGGTCAGCTGTTTCTGTGGGTTTCTCCAGCCTGGTCTTGACCCCTTTGCTCTTCACTCCTCCCTCTCTGCAACTGGATTCCAGGAGTTCAGCCTAGTCTTTAGCTGTGCTTCCACTAGCTACTGGATGAAAGCTCTAGAATGGCATATAAGGAATGGCATATAAGGTAGTCATCAATCTCATTATCAGGGAAGGGCATTTAGGGTAGCCTCTCCATTATTGCTTAGATTGTTAGTTGGGGTCATCCTTGTAGATCTCTGGACATTTTCCCAGTGACAGATTTCTCTTTAAACCTATAATGGCCCCCTCTATGATGGTATCTGTTTTCTGGCTCTCCTCTACTCTTCCCTGACTCAATCTTCCTGCTCCCTCATGTCCTCCTCTCCCCTCCTTTTCTCCCCATTCTTTTTCTCCCTATTCCCTCTCCCCTCTCCCCATGCTCCCAATTTGCTCGGGAGATCTTGTCTCTTTCCCCTTCTTCGGAGGACCATGTATGTCTTCTTAGGGTCCTCCTTGTTTCCTAGCTTCTCTGGTGGTGTGGATTATAGGCTGGTAATCCTTTGCTCTATGTCTTAAAATCCATATATGAGTGAATACATACCGTGTTTCTTCTGTTCCCCCCCTTTGCCTTTCCATTTTAAAATTTCCCCCCCCCCCCCCCCCGCTGAGGAAATGTACCATATTTTCTTTATTCATTCTTCAGTTGAGGGGCATCTAGGTTGCTTCCAGGTTCTGGCTATTACAAACAATGCAGCTATGAACATAGTTGAAAAGATGTCCTTGTTGTATGAATGTGCATCTTTTGGGTATATGCCTAAGAGTGGAATTGTTGGATCTTGTGGTAGACTGATTCCCATTTTCTTGAGGAACTGCCATACTGATTCCCAAAGTGGCTGTATGAGTTTGCACTCCCACCAGCAGTGGAGGAAGGTTCCCCTTTCTCCACATCTTCCCCAGGATAAACTGTCCTTGGTGTTTTGATTTTAGTCTTTTTGACAGGATTAAGATGGTATCTCAGAGTTGTTTTAATTTGCATTTCCCTTATGGTTAAGGATGTTGAACACTTTCCTAAGTGTCTTAAAGCCATTTTAGATTCCTCTATTGAGACTTCTCTTTTAGTTCTGTACTCCAGTTTTAATTGAATTATTTGGTGTTTTGGTGACTAGCTTCTTGAGTTCTTTGTATGTTTTGGAAATCAGCCCTCTGTCAGGTGTGGGGTTGGTGAAGATCTTTTCCCATTCTGTAGGATGCTGTTTTGTCTTGGTGACTGTGTCCTTTGCCTTACAGAAGCTTTTAAGTTTCAGGAGGTCCCATTTATTAATTGAAGATCTCAATGTCTGTGCTACTGGTGTTATGTTCAGGAAGTAGTCTCCGGTACCAATTAGTTTAAGGGTACTTGCCACTTTCTCTTCTAAGAGGTTTAGTGTGGCTGGATTTATGTTGAGGTCTTTGATCCATTTGGACTTAAGTATTGTTCATGGCAATAGTTATGGATCTATCTGCAGTCTTCTACAGGCCAGCATCCAGTTATGCTAGCACCATTTGTTGAAGATGCTTTCTTTTCTTCACTGTATAATTTTAGCTTCTTTGTCAAAATCAGGTATTTGTGGGTTAATATCAGGGTTTTCAGTTCTATTCCATTGGTCTACCTGTCTATTTTTGTGCCAATACCAAGCTGTTTTCAGGACTATAGCTCTATAAGAGAGCTTGAAGTCAGGGATGATGATGCCCCCAAAATTTCCTTTATTGTACAGGGTTATTTTGGCTATCCTGGGTCTTTTGTATGTCCATATAAAGTTGACCATCATTGATTTTGATGGGAATTGGATTGAATCTGTATAGATTGCTTTTGGTAAGATTTCCATTTTTACTATGTTGATCCTACCTATCCAAAAGCATGGGTGATCTTTCCATTTTCTGGTATATTCTTTAATTTCTTTCCTTAAAGACTCAAAGTTCTTGCTCTACAGGTCTTTCATTGTTTTTTGGTTAGTGTTACCCCAAGGATTTTTATGTTGTTTATGGCAATTGTAAAGGGTGATGTTTCTCTGATTTCTTTCTCAGCTCATTTATCGTCTATATATAATAGGGCTACTGATTTTTTTTTGAGTTAATCTTGTATCCTGACACTTTGCTGAAGGTGTTTATCACCTGTAGTAGTTCCCTGGGAGAGTTTTTTGGGTCACTTATGTAAATTATCATATCATCCACAAATAGTTAAAGTTTGACTTCTTCCTTTCCAATGTGTATCCCCTTGATCTCCTTTTGTTGCCTTATTGCTCTAGCTAGAAATTCAAGTACAATATTGAAGAGATATGGAGAGAGTAGACAGCCTTGTCTTGTTCTGGATTTTAGATAATCATGTTGGTTTCTCTCCATTTAGTTTGATGTTTTCTGTTGGCTTATTGTATATTGCTTTTATTATGTCTAGGTATATTCATGTTATACCTGATTTGTCCAACACATTTATCATGAAGGGATGCTAGATTTTGTCAAAGGCTTTTTCAGCATCTAGTGAGATGATCATATGGTTTTTCTTTTTCAGTTTGTTTATATGGTGGAATACATTGAACCATTCCTGCACCCCTGGGATGAAGCCTACTTGACCATGGTGGATGATTTCTCTGATGTGTTCTTGGATTTGATTTTACTTTATATTGTGCATACATATATTTTATATTGTAAAATACAGTATTTTATTGAGTATTTTTGCATCAGTGTTCATGAGGGGTACTGATCTGTAGATCTCTTTCTTAGTTGTGTTTTTGTGTGACTTGGTACCAAGGTAATTGTGGCCTTGTAAAAAGAGTTTGGCAATGAACCTTCTGCTTCTGTTGTGTGGAACATTTGAGGAGTATTGTTATTATCTCTTCTTTGAATTTCTGGTAGAATTCATCACTCAAACCATCTGGCCCTGTTTTTTTTTTTTT